GTTCAAAGGAAGACGGTTCAAGTTCGGCAATCAGGCATCCACCTGGAGAACAAAGGGAAAGCAATTCAAGTTTCAAAGGAAGATAACACAGATTTCAAGGGAAGGCAGTCCAAGTGTCGAAGGAAGACAGTTCAAGTATTGTCAATCAGGAACTTTACCTGGAGAATAAGGGAATTCACTTCAGAACGCAATTCAAGTCAGCAATAAAAGAAGCTCGCGGCGAGAATGCAACTCAACAGTCCAAGGTGATCAACAAAAGTTAGTCACGATCAAGAGAGAGAGGGAGAGAGAGAGAGAGGCAAGAAGTGAATCCAAATGTAGAAGTTGATGAAAGATGTGAGCTTCTCAAGACATGGTTGAGGTCACAAGCACTACATGTACAGTCTTGATCCGAAAATCTGAAGAAGAACGAGCTAGCACCTGCAACTAGCAAGTGTCAAGGTTCAAATCCAAAGTCTGCATGAAGAACCATTCAAGACTCAAGATCAAGCTTCAGAAGACTTATAGATAGGAATCTTGTAACTCGTAGTTGACAGGCTTAACTAGTCTTTTTCATTTCTTTTGATTTTGATGTTATAACAGGACCGCGGACCGGAACCTCGGCGGAACAGCACCTCGACCGGCTATCCACCTCGGCATACTCCATCATCTCACTCACCTTTGAACTACACGTGGTCTGATTCCTTTATAGCCAAGGATATGTAGGCAGCTCAGATACCAGGGCTCGGTCACATTCCCCTCTCTCTTAGTTTTAGTCTCTCCAAATAAGGGTCGGGTCAAAAAACTTGTCTAGTCGTTCTTTGTCAGAAAATACTTCGTCTTTCCAGTCAAAGAGGGACAGTTGTAGACATGTGATTTTTGACCCTCCCCAAGATTTTTCATATTATAGCACGTAAATATTTAATTTAGGCCTAATATAGCTATTTCAACTCATTTTTACTCTTTTACTTTTATTTTATTACAAGAAAACAAAAATTACAAAAAATAAGTTCATTAATGTTTTGTAGTCATTTTTAATCTTGAAAAAATACCAAAAAAATATTTTTGTTTTAATGGTCAGTCTTATTTTAATAATTATTTTTACTTAAGTAGAGGTAATTAATATTTTCAATAATACTTTTAGTTAATTAAGCTAATTTTAAACATAGCTAGTCATAAAGGCCAAAGTTTCTAGCTCATTCCTTAAGCTCAATATCCAATATCCATTAAGCTAATCCAAGAGACCCTTCTAGACTCTTCTTTGGAACAAAAAATAAATAAAAAGACCCTAAGGACTTAACACAAAAAGACTTAGGGACTAATTAACAAAATATATAAAAAATACACATTAGACCTAGACCTATACATAGGGAAAGTAAGGCCTAAAAGAGGGGGACACCTAAAGAAAAACCTATCAGATCCCTACCATCAGCTTTTCAGCGTCGCAATAGACGAACCCGACCCCCCTGAAGATCATCGTCTTCAATACCACCCCAAACGACCCCTCGTTCGATCTTCTTCTTCATTCCAACAACTGCTTCCAGCAGCCTAACGCCGGACACACGCACACACGCACCAACAGGTCGTCGTTCTTCCACCCAAACCCGCCGGAACGGACTCCATCTCCACCCAAAACAGACCTCAAGACCAGGCCTTCGACGTTAAACACCATTTCTGGGTTACAGCCAACGCAGCCTATATTCAAACGTTGAGTACCAGTTCTAAACTGCAGGCATTTGTCATAGTCCGAGTGTTCAGGCGAGTTTTGAGGTTGCCGGCGAGGTTTATACAAGTTGTTGTATTGGGTTTCGATCGAGGTTCAGTCACCGGCGATATTTTCGGCCACTGAGTTTTGTTCGAAGTCGGTTTTGGTCTTTAAAGTTTCGAAGGGCGTTGACGTCCTAGGCTTTGACGTAAAGGTCCACTCTTACTCTTATTGTAATTCTACTGTTTCCTTTAATAACATAAATTGATCAATTTTATTATTAATATTTTAGTGCTTACATTTTGTGTTCTGTGGAAGAATGTCCTCTACGTTGCTTCTCTGTTAACCTGATGTGATTGTATTGTTGTTAAAGTTATTTCCTTCTTAGGATTGTCTCTATGCTTTATTATAGGAATAATATGGATTGTTGCAGTAATATCCTTTCTTATTTTCAATAACTTATTTCATTTGCAGTCTTATGAGTGATGGTCATTAATGTAATAGACAATAATAGCTAAATGTTACACTTCCTCACTACAAATTTCATACTATGAGAACCTCGCAACAATCTCAAATTAGTTTAGGAAATAATTAATTATGAACATCCGTGATTTGTTTTAGTTGAATACTTTCTTTTGAAATAAATTGAGGCGTGCCATGCTAAATAAAATCTCTAAACTCATGGCCCTCATTTAATTAATTTTAATCCTTTAGAAATCGAGGTGTGTCATTTAGCTGAATTTTCCATGGCCCTCGCAAACTTGAGAGTGCATAGTTGCTTTAGGCGCATAATTTAAATTAATTTCCTTAAACTCGGGTGTGCATTTATGTGACCCAAATCCAAATCTCAACAACGTTTGATAAAATGTGTCATGGACCGCGGATGCATTTATGTGACATGGTTCAAGACGTATTCTAGATGACGTTGAATCTTTCCTAAAAATAATTAAATAAAAGCGGTTACAAAGTTAAAATTGAACCATAGGCTAAAACATGTATTAAAAATCAGATAATAGGCCAATTATAACAGTTGAGCGACCATGCTAAAACCACGGAACCCGGGAATGCCTAACACCTTCTCCCGGGTTAACAGAATTCCTTACCCGGATTTCTGTGTTCGGGGACTGTAAAACAGAGTCAATTCTTCCTCGATTCGGGATTTAAAACCGGTGACTTGGGACACCTTAAATTATCCCAAGTGGCAACTCTGAATTTTACATAAAAAATAATCATGTTTCGATTGTCACTTTAAGTTGGAAAAAAAACTCCCCTTATACCCCTCCGGGGTATAGTAAAAAGGAGTTGTGACACACAACAATTGACCACTTTACCCTTGTGAACTCGAACAAAATTATGGATCATGTGGCTCGACTTTGTCTGACGTGTTCCATTAATCATCCTTTCATCTTGATTCTTGCTTTTTTTAATTGGCTCATCTGGGATATTAAATCATCTGACTTGCGACTTGATTTTCTCGTCTTGAATGATCTGCAAGAAAAGTTTTGAGTTATTCCTATTAGTTTTGTCATCATTGAAGGTTATCAAAAGGAGTTCTTTCCTACATATAAAACTCTTAGTGGAAAAATCCTTACTTCTTACCATGCTATGCTAGTGGCAGGATTTGAGCCAGCATCTATTCAACCCATGTTGTGATTGAAATGCCTAATTCGGACTATAGAGCATAGATTAATGATAAAAACTTGTTTGCACTCTATACTTATATCAACTCAACTATGATCCAATACCCTAGCCTCTCGGGTCCTATCCAAAACCATCTCGACAGGTCCAAAATAGCTATACCTACTTATACACAGAGGCGGAGCCACAGTGTCGATTACGGGTTCGGTTGAACCCAATAGCTTTGGTTCAAACTTTGTGTTTGTCTTAAATCATTAAATATGTACAAATTATTAATTTAGAATCCAGTAACTTAAAAGGATTAGGATCCCGAAACCATAAAATCCTGGCTCCGCCTCTACTATACACATACTCAAAACGTATTTTAGATCAGAAATGCGCAGAATGAAGGGTTGGGTTATTACAATACTTCCAAAAGCCATTCACTTAAGCTTACAAAGATCGCTCTGCCAAATGATAGTTCACTCGAACTCACTGTCTTCCACAAAACAGTCCACCACTTCAGCATATACAATTAACGAACAAGCCATATAAGGTTTCATGAATTTTTGATGGAGTTTAAGGCAGAGGTGTTGGGACAGAAGAGAGTGGGCTGAACTCTATGGTGCAGGCTAGGGAGTGGTCAACGGGCGAGTCGGGTCGGATATGGGCAGTTCAAAAACGGGTAATACAAAACAGATAAATTATCCGACTCGACTCATATTTTACCGATAAAAAACAAGTTAACCGTACAGCTTATAATAACCTACACATATTAGTACAGTATAGTAGTATACCGCTTTCCCTGCTTGCGGCTCGTCCGCAGTTATTATATCATTTTCTGTAGATTTTTTTTTTATTTTTAAAAAACTTCTTTTTTGCTCTATAAGCCGAAGTAGCAACTTTTGCTGTCCCCAATGAAGTCAACATCTTGCTGAGGAAGTTAGAATTACAATTAAGAGATTTTCATTGCAATCAGTGAGATGTTTAAAATAAAATCACTACAGGGATAAATGGGAGTCCCACATATTGTTCTTGAGACTTAAACCGCATGAGAATCATAAACCAAGTTTTTTCATGATTAATGAGCAAGGTTTAAAATGTCTTTAATGATTGGAGGTTTGCAGAATTTGGCAATCATAGAGTTCAAAAACCAACTAAATATAAGATTGTCAGTTATCTGTTACAGGACTACCAGTATATGCCTAATTTATCTTGCATTCACAGTTTCATTAACTGATTCTGCATCAATATTCAAGCTGGAGATTGATAACAATGAGGGTAACACCAAGAGCACCAATCCAATAAGTTATTACATTGCAATGAACCAGGAGGCTGAACGTACATCATCCAAGTTCATGTAATTTTATTGCATCACATTCAACTCAGATATTTTTGTGTCCAACACTGAACTTGGCTATGAAAAATCCTATTGTATCGTGGTCGGATGATGGATCAAATCTCTGAACAAGATTTTCCTCGCCAGGCTTTAACCATTCCCTGGAGAATTTAGAAGCAGCGGAGATGTCAATACCGACACTCATGATTTAACGCAACACTTTAATAAGGCGTTTACACACAAAAAAACAGCATCACACCATGATGTTTATCGGAAGCAGTTCTTACAATAAAAAGATGGAAAAATGACTAGCTTTTAAATATGTTTACAGCCATTGCAGAACTTCTGTATCTTAACTTGATCTCTGTTCTGCCAGTAGTCTTAGCAGTTAAAATTCAGAAAAATAGAGATGATTCCAAGGTTCTTTGTTTATCTTTGGTTGTTACAGTCTCTGTTTGGGCATGCACATACACACATTGACAAATAGAACTGTTAGGAAAAGCAAGAGACAATTAGCAACATTCTCCTATACTATCCAAAAATTTGTCCGATACCATCAAAGCAAAGAGTGCCTCGGTCGTCACTTACATCACAGCCCAAGAGACATATCTTTCTCCATCTAAAGCCCAGTAATTTGAAACTGACTGGACAGGTTCAAAGAGACTAACCATCAAGCTTCGCCTTCCATATTTTAGGAATTACCCAATAGACACTAACACATCCATCTTATAAGAACAAATGAAAATGAATGCAGAACGAACAAAATAGCTTAACATAGCTAAAGCACATGTCACGTGTATAAACTATATACACAGTTTTTCAACACACAAGTGACAACTGAAGTCTTGCAAAGCAAACACTACAAAACGGCAAGATGCTTACTCAACAAACCCATTAGGCAATTGACAACTACCAGTGAGGCCGGGTCCTCCAATTTTTGGATGCTGAAAGACATACATGATGTAGAGAAATATCGATCAAAGTCAGCTAGAAAAACTTAATAAGTATATTGATGAAAAATATTTCTCACTAGACATCCTAAATGACTGCTAATATTTCCTTTTAATATCAATTTACTGGAAGCGTTGTTTTGCATGAATATGCAACCTTTTAAACTAACCTGTGATGCCAACGAGAGAAACTCATAGGTGTCCAATGCATATCGAACCAACGCTTCATTCTCACCAGGGTTTATCGTACATCTGAAGTTGGAACCAGTAACAATAGTAGTTCAGGCTATTAAGCATATGACTCAGTATTGGAAGAATCAATCAACCAATCCCTAAAGTTTAACATAATTAAACCCATGACATTAAATGCTCGTCTTGAATAATGTGAAAGAATGTGGAGGAACATGGAGGTATTACTGTCAGAAACTAAAAACTCCATCACTAATACATGCCCTACCGCACATTCAGAAAGCACAAAAGTAAAACCTATGCACCTAAAGAACTACTGGCAGCAGTAGAGAAGCATATATATTACACTGTTTAAAGCAACGGAACCTAAAAACTTGAATTATGTTCCAAAAACAATCAAACAAGAAAACCTCTTGTCACCTCTGGGCAACCCTATATACTTAAAAGACTAAACATATAATTAGTGAATTTGTAAGAAAAGCCATCAGATCCAGTTCCACCCAATCCTTCTGAATCTTAATCTCCCAACTTCTCATCAGTAAATTGCAACTACAAGTAGAACCACAATCAGCACCATCTTCTCTAGCCTGATGAAGAATCTTACCATGTCTAAATATAACTTAAGCTGGCTCCCAAAGAGGAACTTCTTTCCACAGTGGAGTGGTGGACATTATGGCTGAGAGCAAAATGTGCTCATGTCTACATGAAAGGGAAAGAGGAAGTTGTGGTGCTCAATCAAGTGGTTAAGAGCAAGCTTATTTAGCAGTTTTCACTTTGGTCGTACAAATATCTCCCAAGTCCCACCAACTTCTGCGTACAATCAGAACCACCATTTAAAGAAGTCTAGATTCAATGATCTACACTCTTTTTGATAAGGTCCACCATCTACTCTCTGGAACAAGTATGGACCTTCTATGGCAAACAAATTGAGATAGCTAGTATGTACAACTTTCCCGTCCTAATAGCTGCCAAGTCTGTGTAAGGGTTACTTTCTATTTGGACAGTCTGTCCAAGGGTTACTAGTCTCTCCATCCGTATGTACCTGGTCATCATTCCTTTAAATCCATCCCAGTTTCTTGGATCCCTTTCACTAAGTGCAAGTTTTTCATTCCCCAAAAATTCGAACGATATATACTAATACTCTCTCCAACCCATTTTATATGACATCATTTGACAGGAAAAGGAGTTTAAATTGTTAATTTGAATTATATTATATTAGTGATAGAGAAAGAAACTATTAAAGTAATGGCTGCAAAGTTAGATTTGATAGAGAAAATATCATACTGAAGTTCAAACTTTGAATAGTTTAATGAATTTGGATTCTTGAAAATTGTAAATTTTTTACAGAAATGGATTGGGGTCAAACATTTTCAGATGTCTAAATTGGAAAGATTGTCGTGTAAATTGGGACGGAGGAAGTACTAGTTTACATTGTCTTACAAAAATTTGATGATTTTCTGGCAACTTCACTTTCCACATTTAACATTATTCTAAAGATTTCTGTATCTAAGTAATACAAAGTAATCTCTTTTGGGGACGGAGGTATAGGAAGTGCACACGAACCCACTAAATTTTCTTCGGATGGAAAAAGTAGCATCATAATCTGCATGGTATATTCACACAGAATATAGCACCTAGTGAATAATCCATGGGATGACTTTCGCACAGATAGAGGTTCTCTCAATCTCCTTCATACGGGATTCAAAAACAAATTGTGAATATTTGTGTTAGAATCATGCATAGCATTCCGAATATTGTGAATTTGATTTCTTATGATGTAACTTTTGCTCTCCCAATTATTAATTTGTCCAATTAAGTCTTCTACACTTCAATGTCTCATTGAAATCTGGTCTGTGTTCATGTATTTAATACTAGGACATGAGTCCACCTCAATGTCTTAGTGAGTCTTACTGAAAGTTGGTCGGTGACGTATGTAAATGATGTATTTACATATTAAGACATGAGTCCACATTTTGGAACGGCATTTTATGCAACAACTCCCAAATGGATCTGTATAAACAGCCATGCCTAAAGAATAAAGATAGAGGAAAACTAAGAAACTTGCTCTATGCATATATGTTTTAGCAGATTATTTCTAATTCATAAAAAAAATGTTTTAGCACACTGTTACAAAATGGATGTCAGGCGCCACGTCTGATACTTTCTGCAAGCACAGCCTCTAGCATTAAAAAGAACTAGGATCTAGTACTATGTCATTCACCAGAACAAAGGAACAATGTTAAAAAGACTGCAGAAAAGGGAGCGAGAGATTTGTTTATGATCCAAAAGGAGAGAAGTTCACTGTAATAATCTTAATAATGAAATTTGTTTATGATCCAAAAAGAGATGTAGAGCTGTTATAAAGGTCAATAAGGAAGACAAAGTATGGATGGAATAAGTCAACAAAAGCAATGATGAAATTCGCTGTAATAATCTTAATAACGAAATTAGTCTTAAGTCTCGTAAAGAAAAGGTTTAGCTACATGTTTGTACTTACGTGGAATAGACAATAACTCCACCTGGGCGAACAAGCAGAACAGCCTGGTCAAACATTCGTCTCTGATACTTAGCATGATTCTTCAACGAATCAATTGTCTCCTGGGTATAACAAGAGAAATGTTTTCTGAATCAGTTGTCCCTCAAATAACAACAGAAATGTCTTCACAAATTTACAATAAAAAGGGGATAACTTTTGAGTAGTAGTGTTGAAATATGCAGGAAATAGGAATAAACTTGCTCTGATCAAAATGGGTGCAGTTGATCAGAGCCTCCCCACCAACCCAATCCATCAGAAACCTCCAGACACAATAGACATTTTCAATTTCATCATCAAATAGAAAAATGTCTAAGAATATCTGCATGTCATTGGATCAATGAATTTTTACCTCAAGGACTGCTGATTCACTTTCATAACAAATTTGCTTGACATGACATCACCATCCCATGAAGATAAAAGGTTTGACCAGCTATTACTTAAGAGTTAGTCATCTTTTAAGGGGGGGG